ACGCGAGAAGCCTACACTTCCGTCCACACCAGAGTCCTCAAGCCAAACATATGTATACCCCGTGGCGCAATTCACACCCTTGTTGAAACCCGATGCATCAACCGAATACCCAGCAGTCACAGCCATCCTCCGTCTACTCTCCAGCTCCCCCGCATTTTCAGGTGCCCAATGGCTTTTCACAGCTGGCTACTTCAACATCCACCCCGTCCTCTCATCCCTCCTGATCCACAGCACGTCCGCCTGCCACACTGCATCTACAACCCGGGGTACAGTGCTAACAGCATCACCCTGGGCAAACGGCTTCTACGGCTCCCCGGGTATATCCGGCATGCTCCCCGCAGCCTACACGCATCTCTCCGCCCGTTTCCTGGACAGAGTCGCAGACGCTCAGCGGACAAACAGCATCCAACTCAAAGAATGGCGTCGCGGAACAGTCGGCCAACCAGGCGGGTGGACGTACCATGCCAAGGGTCTTTGGTTGACTTTACCCAGGGAAGAAAACCCTAGTCTGACCTTCGTCGGAAGTAGCAACTACACGAAGCGCAGCTATAGTTTGGACCTTGAGGTTGGTGCGTTGGTTATCACAGATGATCAGGGACTGAAGAAGAGGATGGGCGAGGAGATTGAGTGGTTACAGAAGGATGCGGAGGGGGTATCGAGGGAGGATTTGAGGAGGACGAAACGGAGAGTTGGGTGGAATGTGAGGTTGGCTATGTGGATTGTTGAAAAGGTTGGGGGTGCATTGTAGTTTTACATTTTGCATTTTGAACAATATAGAGTACTATATACCCCATGTACTACATACGATGGAACTGTATAATATGCTGTTGATATATCCATTGATCATCACTTTTTATACTAAAGACCGAAACGCCAACCGAAATACCTGCCAATGATGATGATATCGTATCGTGCAATCGTTCATGCCCTACCAGGCACCTTCCCATTAAGCTTGGCAGGCCCCAAGCCCTGCCGAACTTCATCAAGCATCTTCATACCAATAGTCTCGTTGCCATGCTTTCCTCTCTTCATCTTTACACCCTTGCGCTTGACCTGCGCGCTGGTGTTATTATCCCACCCGGAAAGGAAATCATCCATGATGTTGTTAAAGCTATGCGCCGGGGGCACCTCGGTGCCGTTTGCCTGGACCAGGTTCGGTGCTTGCGACGAGGCGGTCGAGATTCCAGTCATACCCGTCATGCCGGTCATACCACTAGCCATGGACATGCTGTCGTCGAAGTCTTCCTCATCTTCCTCGTCGAGGGCGTACAGGGCCTCCACCTTCTCGAACCGGTCGTCGAGAAGTCGGTGGCCTTCGGTTCTGGCAATTGCGGAGGATGACATGGAGTATGCGGAGGGGTTGGTCATGGCTCCCTTGCGCTTCTTGCGGTGGACGGGCGTGCCGCCTGCTGTGAAGACGGTGGAGGCGAGGGTGCTGCGCTGCTCCGAGGGAACGACGCTGGGTGGTGCTGCGGGGGCGCCGGCGGGTTTGGATTTGGCGTCTTTCTTGAACTTGGCGAATTCGCGCATCCAGGATTGGTCTTCGGGGTGTTGGTCTGGGATGGGTTCGTTGAGATCGGGTAGCTCGCCTGGTCCAGCATCTGTGTCGTCTATGTCCGCGATGTCTGTCGTGTCGGTCTGTACGGGGGCTTTTTCTGTAGCGTCGGAACCCCAGCCGTCATCTTCGTCTTCCTCTTCCACGTCGAACAGGGTGTCTTCCCACTCGCCCGGCTCCATCTCCTCGGCAGTCTTGGTCAACTCGCCAAACACATTTTCGTCTTCCTCGTCGACAAATTCCTCATCCTCGAGCGCCTCCAAAGCTTCACGCAGACGAGGGTCCATATCAGGCTTGAACCCCGCAATCGAATCAGGAACATTCTGCTGGTCCTGGTATGTCGGCTTGCGAACAAACGACGAAGCCGTCGACCGCATATCCCCATACTGCGACCCATAAGCACTACGACCACCCGCCGTACTCTGTCCATCATCAAGCGACACCTGTCTCAGCGCATCCTCCAACTTCATCCCCTTGTTCTTCCCCTTGTTGTTGTTGTTGTTGTTGTTGTTGTTGTTGTCCTTAGACGAAGCCTCGACGAAATGCGCTTCACCCCCGCCGGTCCCCAGCTCCCGCAAGTGCTGCATGTAGTCATACTTTGTGTCGTCGTAGAAGATACCGTAGTTGGCGGCTTCGCCTTCGTTCTTTCGGACGGCGTCAGATCCGAATTCATCTTGGAGGTCGTGCAGGTTCTTGGCGCGCTTTGCGGCATCCGACGGGGGAAGTGCTGGCCCGCCAATTTGGTGAAGGATTCGGTCGTCGGCTTGAGGGTCGTGAATTAGAGGGTCGTGCTGGGAACGGTGGAAGAGTTGGTATGTCGCGGCATTTTTCTTGTCACTGCGTTGGTTAGTACCACTGCTCGCATAAGTGGCTAGAAATCACATACATCCACTTCCTGGGAGGCATTTTGAAGAGTCTCTGTAAGAGATTCTAATTGTGTTTTCTTTGAATAGTAGCTGTTCCTGTGGTGTTGGGCGATGGAAGAAAAAAAAAAAAGGTAGTGGGATGATATGGATCACGTGATTCTTATCGGCGTTCAGAATCTGTTTGCTCGAGGACCTTGAAGCAACACGGTATTAGGGCTGAATAATAATGCACTAAAATATTATAATCACCCATGTACTCTACTGTTTGTAATAATATATCATTATCGTTTTTGAGTATCCTGGTTGAACATCAACTGCTGCATCAACGCTGACTCAGCCTTATCTTATCCACGCGGGGTTTTTTCACTCGAAAAATTATTAATTCAACTTCCACTCAACAACCCTTCGCCACCTTCAATTTGAGCGAAGGATATCCATTTTGATACATTTCTATCCACGGTGGGAACGAATTAAACCGCCATCATGGTCCTCGCAAAGTCCAAAAACTCCGTGGGGTTGGGAAACAGCCTCATGAAAGACCGATTCGGCAAAGGCAAAGCATCCGCCCAGAAGAAAGTCACGCACAATACCTCCGTCGCACGTACAGACATGAACGGAGAGACCTATGTCACGCCCGGTGCCAAGGAGGCCGCATGGGTGAAGATGCGCAGTGTTACGGAACAAGGCGCCCTCGATGAATTCCTGAGCACCGCCGAACTGGCGGGTACCGATTTCACGGCAGAGAAGATGAGCAATGTTAAGATCATCCATACGGACCAGAAGAACCCGTTTCTGCTTTCTGCGTCGGAGGAGAAGTCGACTGTGAAGAAGCACCAGAAGAACAAGGCGCGATTGACGGTTCCGAGACGGCCGAAATGGGACAAGACTACGACACCGATGCAGTTGGAGGCGATGGAGAGGGAGAGTCTGCTGGAATGGCGGAGAGGTCTTGCTGATTTGCAAGAGAACCACGACCTGCTTATGACTCCGTTTGAGCGCAACCTGGAAGTCTGGAGACAGCTGTGGCGAGTTATTGAACGGTCCGATCTTGTGGTGCAGATTGTCGATGCAAGAAACCCGTTACTATTCCGTTGCGAAGATCTTGAAGTCTACGTGAAGCAGATCGACCCCAAGAAGAAGAACTTGCTGCTCGTGAACAAGGCGGATATGTTGACAGATAAGCAACGAGAAATGTGGGCGGACTATTTCGAGCGCAACAACATTCCTTTCCGATTCTTCTCTGCACACTTGGCCAAGGAGCGCAACGAGGCGCGACTTCTGGAGGACGAGTCCGGTAGCGAGGCCAACGATCTGGCCGATGCAGCCAAGGACCTCAACATCGAAGAGCAGAAGCAGCAGGAACAGCAGGGCGAACGCTCGTGGAGAACCGACATCCTCGACGTCGACGAACTCGAAGAACTCTTCCTCTCCAACACCCCCGACACCCTCCCCCTCAACCAAGAAGCTGGCGAACCACAAAAACAAAAAACAGTCATCGGTCTAGTCGGTTACCCCAATGTCGGAAAGTCAAGCACCATCAATGCCCTCCTCGGCGCCAAGAAGGTCTCCGTCTCCGCTACCCCCGGTAAAACCAAACACTTCCAAACCCTCTACCTCTCCCCCGAGATCATGCTCTGCGATTGCCCCGGTCTCGTGTTCCCCAACTTCGCCACGACAAAGGCCGAGCTCGTCGTCAACGGTGTCCTGCCCATCGACCAACAGCGTGAATTCACTGGTCCAGCTGGTCTCGTCGCACACCGTATCCCCAAGCACTTCGTCGAGAACGTCTACGGCGTGAAAATCAACATCCGCCCCATCGAAGAAGGCGGCACCGGTATCCCAACCGCCTCCGAAGTCCTGCGCACCTATGCCCGTGCCCGCGGTTTCTCGACAACCGGCCAAGGTCAACCCGACGAATCCCGCGCAGCTCGCTACGTGCTCAAGGACTACGTCAGTGGAAAACTCCTTTTCTGCCACCCGCCCCCGCCCGCCGAGGGCCAGGAGCCAATCAACCCCCTCGACTTCAACAAGGAACTCTACGACATGGCGCACCTTCCCGCTCGTCGACAGGCCATCCTCGCGAGAGCACAACAAGCGGATAACCCCGACGACGCAGAGTCAGAACTCTCCTCGCTTCCATCAGCCAAGCCTAACAAAAGTGAAGAGGGTCAGCGTTCTCGCAACCTCGACACGGGTTTCTTTGCTGGCTCCTCCTCGTCTGCAGGCCGTATGACACTGCCCTTCAACGCGCAGTACACGGACCAAGGACAGCAGATGCGGAAGCAGCTGACTGGCCGGAAGGAGAGGATGATGGTTGCGATGGAACGCGGGGTGGATGCCTCGGAGGTGAAGGGGAACTCGAAGAAGCATTTCAAGGGGAATAAGAAGAGGGCGAAGGGGAAGAGGGCTGCTGGGAATACGGAGGAGGAATATTATTGATTGATTGCTCGCGGGCGAGTCTTTTTTATGTTTTCTATCATGTTTATGTTAAAAAGTCAGGCTTATAGATACGGAGTACATTATGCATAATGTTATTATGACAATTTACCAACTATGCTAGTCTCATATACCAGGGGCAGTTACAGATGAGACTTAATCTTTCCAAATCCATTAGCAGTAAGCAACCGATCCGTCTCAGCACGCTGCCAGTTCAACTTGGACACAACAGCGTCCTTCCGCGATCGGTTCTCCCGCTTACCCAACTGCTGCAGATGCACCTCATCAGGTCCATCTGCGATGCGCAGCGTCCGGATCAACGCCCACATGTACGCCAAGGGAGTATCCTGACAGATACCCGCGGCACCGTACGCCTGCACCGCGCGGTCGATGATGGTGAGCGCAGTCTGGGGGACAAGGACCTTGGCCTGCGCGATCTCCTTCAGCGCAGCCTTGGCGTTGCCCTGGTCGATCTTGATCGCGGCGTTCAGCACGATCAGTCGCGCAGCGTCAATCTCAATCCGCGACTTCGCAACCCACTCCAGGATCACACCGTGCGAGCTCAGGCTCTGCCCGAAGGTCTTCTTGCGGTCGTCGTTGATCCGCGCGATCAACCATTCGATGGCCTTTTCGGCGGCACCGATGGTGCGCATGGCGTGGTGAATGCGGCCGGGGCCCAGACGGCCCTGGATGATCTCGAAGCCGCGGCCTTCACCTAGGACCATGTTGGAGACAGGCACGCGGACGTTCTCGAAGGTGATGTGACCGTGACCGTGGGGAGCGTCGTCGTAGCCGTAGACGGTCAGCATGCGGTGCACGGTGATTCCCGGGGTGTTGGCGCGGACCAGGACGACGGATTGTTGCTTGTAGGTGTCTTGGTTGGTAGGGTCGGATTTGCCCATGACCAGGTAGACCTGGCAACGGGGGTCACCGGCACCAGAGGACCACCATTTCTACCTTCGTCAGCCATCATCCGGCATATCCAAGGAGAGAGACTTACCGATCCATTCAGGACATACTCGTTGCCCTCCCTCCGAATTCTCAACTGAATATTCGTAGCATCACTAGACGCGACCTCCGGCTCCGTCATCAAAAACGCACTGCGAATCTTCCCCTCCAACAACGACCCCAACCACTCCCCCTTCTGCGCCTCATTCCCATACTTGGCCAACACTTCCATATTCCCCGTATCCGGCGCCGCGTTGTTCGTCGCCTCGCTCGCAATCGAGCTCTTTCCCAGATACTCCGCCATTAGGCCGTACTCGAGGTTCGTGAAGCCCGCGCCCTGCGAGAAGTGGCTCTTGGAAAGGAACATGTTCCAGAGGCCCAGGCGGCGGGCCTTGGTCTTGAGCTCTTCGATTACCGGGGGGTGGGCTTGCCATCGGGAGGGTGCGGCGTCGAGTTGGGCTTGGAAGAGGGGGTCGGCGGGGATGCAGTCTTTTTCGACGAATTCTTCGACCTGTTGTTGCTGTTAGTATGAGGGTCAATGGAGAAGTGGTCTGATGGGGTGTACCAGGTCGAGGGTCTTTTTGGCGCGGTCGCTGACGAATGGCTGAGCGATGGGAGGGATTCTGGTAGAGGCGGACATTTTGACAGTAATGATAATATTGATTGATGGGATAGAATATGGAATGAGTGTCAAGGAGACGGCGAGAGCTGAAGTTATACCGACTGCGGAGACGAAGGAGGTTGCGGAGATGCCGAGGTTGATTTCGGCTGAGCTATTAATGCCAGCATACATGCAGAGTATCCCAACGTTATATGCGGAGTACACCTTTCTCCCCTCTACAGAGTACAAAGTATCTATATTTGCAAGGGCTAATAGCTATGTTAGTCTTATATGTAATTAAGTTTAGTTACAACTTGAGTACACGCAGATATGAGGAAGTCAATCTAGTACTCCTATACGTACGAGTTTTTGGTCAACCATAGGAGGGATAACTAGTAGATACCAACTAACAATGGCGCACTATTTAGTCATTGAAAACATGCAGAGCAAGGCTTCAGGACTTGTAAATCTGGATTAGCAATAAGAGTGCAGAAAGCATCATTTTCGAGGTTCACTTCTCAAAGATATCTAGACTAGACAGCCTATTGAATATCAAATATGGAGAGGAAGAACTATCAAGGCAAAGCAAAGGAACTATATCTGCATCATATGTGATTGTATAGGAAGGGCTAGGGCTTCGTTGTTGCCATGTTGGTTTGTCACCATCAGGATCTCTTTTCATGCCTTCATAGGTAACGGTTCAGGCTTCTCAGGGTATCTGAAAAGATACGATGAAATGCAGCTGAATCGCTTCAAGCGTCTTCTCGTATTGCGGCATTTCTTATTTGACAATATCCCATTATATCGTTGGTTATTCTGATGTGGCTCTGTTGGTGATTATTTTCTTTTGTACATATGTATTAGCGCGTATCGAGATTGCCGATCTGCTAGTATTTTGCATTTCGTTGTAATACCGTACAATACTCCATGCAGTCAGCTGCAATCGGCTGTCCGAGACTGTCGGGATGCAAGTGTATGGCGCTATTCGAATCCCATAAGACAGTCGGACTCAATTATAGTGACGGACTTTTGGCCCCGTCTTTTTAAGACTAAACAAGTTGCTTCTGCGCCATCGAGAGTGACCGTCAGACTTCACCATGTCTGCCTTAATCGATTTGACCGTTACAGTTCCCTTGCTTTGGCTGGGGATACTAGGTGCTGCAACCGTGCTGGTTTACCAAAAATGGTTCGGTTCAACGTTGGATATTCCTCGAATTGGACCAAAGCCAACACTGCTGGGCAACACGTCCAAAGGGGAATTCTACCAGAGGAGCGTTGAAATGGTCAATGAGGGATATGCCAAGGTAAAACACCCGTATACGGTATATTGTAAAGGAAAAAGATTGACACATTGCAGTACAAAGATTCTCTATACTATCTATGAACGACCAACATGGATTGGCTCATGATACCTGCAAAGTACATTGTCGAGTTCAATAAAGTGCCTCGCAGTCATCTCAAATTGACGGCGACTGTGCGCCATTCTGGCAAGTATACCGGAATGGACATTGCAGATGAAGGCATGCTTGGATACGATGTTTGTGCTGGTCCATTGTCGCAGAATATTGGTTGTCTGGTACAGCCAGTCTATGATGAAGTTCTGTATGCACTCCAAGGAAAGGTCGATGCGGCAAAAGAAGTCAATGGTAAAGGGATTATTACAAGAAGCAAGTCCAGTGGCTGGTGATACCAGGAGTATATACTGTTCCCATGTACTCTACCGTCCTAGAACTCGTCACGGCCTCGACTGCCCGCATGTTTGTCGGACCTGATCTGCGCAGAGATCCAGAATGGCTGTCGACAGTCAGTGGCTGCACAGTCGACGTTGGCGCAGTGGCAAGCGACCTGCAGAAACACTACAAGTTTCTGCACCCCATCATTGCTCCTCGGCTTGAGTCGCACAAGCAGCGTCAACGGCGATTCGACAAGATCTGCAAGATCCTTATCCCGATATTCGAGCAGCGTCGAAATATGGATAGCAAGGCCCATGCCGATATGATTCAGTGGCTGATCGATATGGCCAAGGGTCCTGATACTGATAGTGGTCGCCTCGTCCGGAGGATGCCGTTTCTGAACATGGCTGCTATCCATACGACGACACATACCACGGTGAATATTATTTTGGATCTGTGCCATCGACCAGAGTCCATCCAGCCACTGCGGGAGGAGATCATTGAGATCATGAGAGCGTACGGTGGCGTCAAAGTTTCTACTCTGGCGAGTTTGAAGAAGCTGGATAGTTTCATGAAGGAGAGTCAGCGTCTGGACCCGATGGATTTGGGTAAGTAATCCATATGTTCTTCAACTAAATAAAAAATCTAGCTATTCAGTGATCTTCAATCGACAAATCACCAAGCCGGTGACTCTATCCAACAACATCACCATTCTCCGAAAGACCTTTATTTCCATGCCCATCTATCCCATGTACAAAGATCCCGAACGGTATCCCGAACCCGAGACCTTTGACGGATACCGATTCTACAAGCTGCGTCAGGCCAAAGAACAAGCCCGGTATCAGTTTGCTGCATCTGACAAAGATGGACCGGGATGGGGATTTGGCAAATTCGCCTGTCAATAGTATTATAAATCAGGTACAGGGAAATGAATTATCAATATCAACAATACCCCTGTAATCCGCACAAGCATGGCAAAACAAGGATAATACTAGCGATACGATGTATTCTAGGCCAATGAAATACAACCTTTCGACCGGGATTACAACTATGAAATGCATCGGAAGCTTTTCCTTCCGGTTTTAGTCCTCAGTCGTTCGTATTTATTGCGCCTCCTTCCTTTATTTCATCCATCTCTTTCTCAACTCCCCTCAATCACCAATTGTCATCAGCAATATGGGTGTCCCTAGACTCATCTTCGGCGCTGCCTCCTTTGGTATGAACTTTGTCAATCCTGAAGACGTCCAGGAAGTCCTCAATTATCTCAAAGAGAACAACATCACCCACCTCGACACCGCCGGCAGATATCCTCCCACTTCGCCTGGGCGCTCGGAGGAACTGCTCGGCGAGACCAAAGCTGTCTCTCAGGGCTTCACTATCGACACTAAGATTCTCACGTTGTACCTAGATCACCGTGGTGGGTTAGAAAGGTCTGCGGTTGAAAAGTCCATCAACACCAGTCTGCAGCGCATGGGCGTTGAGCAGGTGAGATCATAATATTCATTGATCTGTACTGTTACTTATGCATACAGGTCAACACTGTCCACATCCACCTTCCAGACCTAGACACCCCGTTGAAAGAACAGGCAGAAACTTTCGACAGTTTGCACAAGGCTGGAAAGTTCAAAAATGTACTACATCTCCCTGAACAAGCTACTTGAATAAGCTACTTGAATAAAGCTAAATATTTCTAGCTCGGTGTCTCCAACTTCCAACCAGAATTGCTACAGGAATTCATCGACATCTGCGAGGCCAATGGCTATATCAAGCCCACTGTCTACCAGGGCGACTACAGTGCCGTCAATCGGGGCATGGAAAAAAGGCTCCTCCCAATCCTGAAGAAACATGGTATTGCCTACAACGCATTCCGGTATGTTGTCCTTGACTAACTTCATCATGCTGAGCAATACTGATACGCTACACACTAGAGTTCTAGCCTCTGGCTTTTTATCCGGCAAACTCACAAATGGCAACGCTGAAGGCACACGCTTCGACGGCGATGGTCCCATGAACAAATTCATGCAGAACCTTTACAACCAGGAATCATTGCACGACGCGCTCAAGCAGCTGGAGGAAACAACGCGTGCTCTTGGGATTACTACTATTGATGCTGCGCTGCGGTGGGCGTACTACCACTCTGCACTGGAGAAGGGTGACGGAATCATCCTCGGAGCCAGTTCCATCAAGCAGATCAAGTTGAATATCGAGAGCATCAGCCGGGGTCCGTTGCCAAAAGAGTGTCTCGATACATTCGAGCACATTTGGGAGACACTAGAGCCGGTGAGAGGGGACATTCTGTGAGGTAGCAGAGTATATAGGATTAGATGAGTGAATAGTGTTTACGACAATAAACTGATTGACGAGATATCCCCCGGACCCAGACGAGCGCGTTGATGGTGGCCTTCCTTGTAGGCATACATGGGCTGCTCGTAGTTGAATCTGAATGTTTCTTATAATGAAAGACAAACGCAAGGATAGACACGAAAGACCCAAAATAAAAGATCTCACTTGAATATATAGGAAATGCCTCTGTCGACTATCTACTCTATATATATACAGCAATGAATCAATATAAAACAGCATTCAAGCAGTCGATGATGGCGGAGAGGACGTCTTTGTAGTCGGACTCGTTGTATTCGACGACATGGTACCAGATGTTTGTGGAGATGGTGTAGAGGGTGTAGTGAGTGACGATGCCATAGCAACGTATTGGTAACGAGATACGAGCATGAGGACTAGCATGAGGAAGGAAAGAAGGAGTACTCCAAACAGGCCAAGGCAACCGCTCCTGCTTCATGACATTGCATATCATGTTCTCGCTTTCGGTTTGCTGTATTGATAGAAGCCGCGAATATTGCACCATGGTATTTTCTCGTATTTCTGCAGCCTTGCACGGATAGTACACCCCCAGCCAGTGAGAGATCTTCTAAAAATGTGAAATTGTAGATTAAGGCGGATGGCTGGGCTTGTTCGAGAAGGAGCTATCTCCCTGTGTTCAAGGTACAAGATATCGTATCCAGTGTGAACTATAGCAGGGTAGAGCCTCCTTCCAATAAGGTACGGGGCTTCCGCGGATGAGCTACTGCAAATCCTAGCTAAAACGAGCCCCGTAATAATACGGCATTGCAACGTTATCCCATTAATTCCAAAATATGACTACTGCAAGTCTCGTACATCTCTGAGGTCCCCATACAAACCTTGCTATATGAGGTGCAGTGGGGCATCTCTGGCCAACTGTTGAATATATGCATTTTATGAGAAAGAACAAGTTTATTATAGTTTCTCTTGTTTACAGTGATGCTTCACAGTAACTACTACGCTATTCAGCCCTTTCCTAGACCTTTCGTAGCAAAAATCCATCGCCTTGAAAAGTCTGGAATACCTGCTGGGCATAATACTTCTTGCTCACATCCTTCAGCCGAGCAATGTGCTTAGGTCCGTAGCTTGCAACAGGATCCTGCGTGGCTGTCGCATGGTTCATGAAGATGAATGGCAGCAAAATGCCCATCTTGGTGGCCGTTTCTCGCAAATAATCACCAAATTCAAACACAGCTCTGAGAACGCGTTCGTCATTTTCTTCATTCTTCCATTGTTTCATTGTGCCAAATAGGACATCCCTTGTAGAGTTAGCATAAGTCATTTCAGCATCAACCGTGTACTTGCATTGCTGAGGCTCAACCGCTGCATTCAGCGCATTTCCTCCATTCTCTCTGCCAATCTTCATCGCTGAAGTAGTCAATGGCTGCACTACCATGCCCATATCAAATCCAGTCTCCTCATAGAGCTGGTCCGAAACCTAACGCCAGCGGTTGTATGCCAGAGCGTAGAAGCCGGGACTGGGTTGAGTGGCAATTCCAAAAGCATCACGTCTGCATTCATCAGTAAAAAACAGAAATACTGGAACTGTGTATTCGAACTGACCTCAGTTTCTGCGGTGGTTCTAAAACCTTGGACGTGTTTCTGGAGAAATCAAGAACAGTGCCAATGGTCGATTCCACAAACCACGCTCATGCGGAATATCACAGAACATCTTAAATAGCGAAGGGAACTCAACAGGCGAGGGGTATATTCATCCAAGCAGCGTTCTTTTGTGTCTAATATGGTGGAAAATCGATCCCTCGGACTCGTTCTCTGCAGCCTTTTGCCATTCCTCGATCGCCTTGAGAATTTGCTCGTTGGACCGGTGTTCATAAATCTGGGCCGCAAATCAGGTCTTGCCAATTGGGACAGTCCGGAAGGTGAATTTGGTCACAATACCTGCTCAGTCAGAAAACCGAATGATATATATGTTTTCAAGTCATACCGAAGTTAGAATCGCCGCCCTTAAGGGCCCAGAAGAGGCCGGGATGTAAACAGTGAGATCCTCAAGATCCTGCGGCTCAGGACAGACAAGGAGTACTTGAAGCGGCACGTGGTGTCGTTGATGGCCAATGTAACAGGGAGTCTGGCTTATACCGAACACTCGATGCAAACACTGCATGCTCACGCCATGAAGTTGTTGGGGCGGATGCCTGAGAATCCGCTGATGAGGGGTATTCTGGATATCCTTGTTCAATGAAGAGGTTCAGGGAATTTAGGGCATGCAGGGTAAATACCGTATTTTAGCTTTTCTAGTGCAATACACTGTTTTTTTAACTTTTTAATTTAAAAGTACAACTAAAATTTCACGTAGATCCGGAAAAATACTCGCCATGTAACAAGACGGTATCTGATTTACAAGACAGAGACCTGCTGGCGGTAAGCATGAAGAGGTTGGCAATGATAGTCGTGATATGGTAGATTATATAGTATGAGACTGAGGTCTTCGCGGTAAAATAGGATAGATACCAAATATCATCCTACTCCTGGATATTCCCATCGTCAATCCCAGTGAACCAATCTATCTTGTCTATCATCTTCAATATGAGACCTCAAACATTCTGGTTACAGTTGCAATCTCGCATTGAGTTCCTGCTCAAGAATTTTGCCGATGGCTGCTCTAGTCCCCATGGTTTGGGCTCCATGTCCACCGGCTGCTACGACACGGCCTGAGTGGCAATGATATTCAAGGAGACCGATGGAAAATGCGAGTGGCTCTTTCTGTCTTCCTTTGAATATCTCATCAGCTCTCAGAGCATTCCTCGAAGCCAATACCAGCAAGTGGGATAAAGGCGAGACCATCTGGGTTGAAAAGGTCTCGTAAAACTGCTGTCTTGTCCAATGCCTACTGCATCTCTGCCGTTTAAGCGCCAACCTTTACCTGGATTCAAACTGGCCATGGCCTCGTCAACGTTCCGTCCAAGGCTGTTTCTAAGTTCGCCCAGTTCTACTCGTGTCTGCCACTGTTTGCCAACGAGCCCAGCTGGCGACTGAAATCCTCCTTGGTCGTGGGCTTTCCGTGGATCCCACGACTTGCTGCCAGGAGACTCGATATCTTCCCTCGCACTAACATGCAAGAGGACAAATACCTGCAGTATCTCCCTCAGACATGGACCATGTGCAACAGTCTACATGAAGGAGCCCTCGAGCCGGATCTCATGTGGGAGATGATGATCATCGCCATGCTCAATTACCAGGCCGATGAATTCCTCGAGGCTGTGGTGGACGAACACATGATGGACCAGCTCGACGCCGTCCGTGCCCTTGTTGAGCGGCTGTGCGCTGACGCTAATGGCGAGTCCCTCTTCTCCGACGTCGATGGCAATGGCAATGGCAATGGCGAAACTACACCCAAATCCAACGGAATCTACGAAAAGCCCGTCTCGCTCAATGGAGACGTGCCTGGCATGGACTACGGAGAACCAGTCCTCCGTCGCTTCATCACCTACATCCTAACCCATCCCGCTGCCATCCATTCTCCCCCTTCTGTCCAGCGCACTCTACGCCGCGAGCTCAAAGACTTCATCCTAGCACATATCACGCACGCCGAAGATAACGCCCGGTTCCTCTCCCAGAGCATCGCGGCAGATCGCACGACACAATTTGCCACGCCGTGCTCCTACTACTACTCCTGGGTACGGTCCACGTCGGCTGATCACACAAGCTGCCCGTATTCCTTCCACTTTCTCAGCTGCTTGATCGCCAAATCCGGTGGGCCGGCATTCAAGGGAGCCCGCCAGAGAGGTATCTGGCAGAGGACATGTGCAGGCATTTGGCTACCATGTGCCGACAGTACAATGACTATGGGAGCATTGTTCGGGATCGAGCGGAGAAGAATCTGAACAGCGTCATTTTTCCTGAGTTTTGTGAAGAGGGTGCGGAGAAGAAGGCGGGCGCGAATCTGAAGACGGTTGCACGGGTTGAACAGAAACTCAAGGACAATTTGATGTGGGTTGCGGAATATGAACGGGAATGCTGCGTGACAGCGCTCGGCCGACTCGAGAATGAGACAAGGCTGGATACGCGGACGAAGAGAATACCCAGAATGTTTGTTGATGTGGTTGACTCGTATGGACAGATCTATGTGGCACGGGATATTGCCAGTCGGATGAGATAGACTAGATGTTTTGTTATAACTTGTCAGAGATCAACAGCTAGTCAAATTTGTTATTGTAACTACTAGTGGAAAGTAATTGAAGCAGAGCGCAGGACTCATTGGTCTTGAATAGTTAATGTAACAGCATCATTTCCCTGCTGACTTCTTTAAAGACGCCGATGAGCTGCCTTCTTGGGTGCTTCCAGGATGTAACTATCGGCAGCAAGGAGTACAAGGAAAGCCGAGAAAACCAAGTTCATATGCACACCTCTACTCCGTACTAGCAACAGAATCAAAGATAAAAGATACATCCATTCCTATTAAACAATAAAGCATTCAAGCATTCCCAATACAATGCCTTGACTGAAACCCAACCAGAACCCCAATGCAACCGAACCGAACCGAACCCGTAACAAGTAAAACAACAACAAATGCCAAAGACAGAGACACCGGAACGACCGGACGGAGGACCAGTATCAACAGTCAAACAAAAACAAGAACCCGAGAAAGAAAAGAAGCAACTGAATCAAATGCGAACCAGCGCAAAGTCCTCCTATCCAGTCCCACCGAGACAGACTACTGTCCCTCCCCGGTATCCCCGGCCGGTTGTTGCTGTTGCGACGACTCGAAGTTCTTCTTTCCGAGTTTTGCGAAAAGGGATTGTGGCTTTCCGACGCTGTATTACCGTTAGCATCTTGACGGTCTTGGGGGAGAAAGGGTAGGGACATACTTCTTAAACCGCTTTCCCTTGAGATCGCTCAATTTCTTCGAACAAGGGCTCATAATGTCATCCGACGGCGAGACGTAGCTTCCTTGGCTCCTGTTTTCGTTCGTTAGCACTGCATCACTCCCCAACACGTTGTCCAAACAAAATCTCGATCCAGGGACTAGCGCGCAATCTGGATAGAGGGAGCGCTTACTTGTCACCATCAATCTTCCCCTGTAGAATCTGACGGTGATACTCGAGCGAGTTGAGGTTCGCGGGCGCGCTCTTCATATCATCAATCTTCTCGTGGCTCACTGTTGTGTGGGTGTTGGTGCGGTCTGCGAGAGGTTGTTGGGCGTCCATTTTGTTGGTTTGTTTTTGTGAGGTTTTTCTCGTAATTTGTCCGATAGATAGAGATGAGGAAGTTTTGTTTTCTGAGGTGTAATGCTCTGTAGCTTGAAGAGGGAATGGTAGAGTGGTGGAGGTCGAGAGGTGACGGCAGGAAAGGAAAGAGAAAAAAAATATGCGAGATTGTTGTCCCGGCAACCGCGATGATATCAGTCATTCTATACTACGAGTGCATAAGTATTTTAATCCTGACAAAGAATGAGGCAAATAACATTCAATAAAGAAATAACTCATATGGTATCATGTCAACAGCCGTAATACGCAGACAAACAATAGCCAACTCAGTACCAGTACTGTACACCACTGTAAATATCACATAGCAAGTATCACCGCAGTCACAATACGACTGCGACGGTATGTAGATGTCATTATATTAGACAGATAGATGATAAATCTGCCAGATTCGGGCGGGATGTCCCTGTATGTCCCCATTATGCCAAGGGCCAGCCCGGCTGTAAGCCTAGCCTGGTGAGTCCAGGCATATTCTAGATAGAAGTCCAAACACAAGCTGTAAAGGATCATGTCGGCGAAGTAGACGATGCAGGCGATTCCACAGTCTCATAATCCGCATCCCCATCATTAACACACCCATTCAGAACAGGCGGACTGCTCCGCGACCGCACATGTGATTCCACCGGCGACATAGCTAGCATATCAGTATCCCCCTCACCACCAGCACTATCATCACGTTGCTCCTCCCTCTCCTCATCCGACGTTGGGGATGTCGGGGTAGGCGGAGAATACGCAATCGTCGGACTGGCAAGACCGCCGTTCTGTGAGTCTTCTGAGATATTTCTCCGATGGTGATGGTGATGATGCTGATGGCGGTGGTGGCTGTGGCTGTGGTTATGACGATACGAAGCCGGTCGCGTCGAACTCGGACTCATAGACGGGGACTCGAAAGTTGGGGATGACGATCGCATACTGTATGACCGCGAGACCATGTTCTGCACACTAGGGAAGTCGATGTAGCTTCCCACGACACCCCGGGGCGAGAAGAGGATAAGGCCAAAGCAAACGAGAACCATGATGCTCTGAACTACTGCGACCCGCTTCTGAAAGACAAGCTCGTCCGCCAGAACACCCAACTGGCCGCTCATCGCGTACAGCTCTTGATGGTGGTGGATACGTTGATGTTCAAACTCCAGCAACACCGTCTTCCACACTTGGTCGTACTGTTCCCGGAACTGCTTCAATTCATCCAGGACGGTCTGATTCAGGTTTTCAAGGAAAGTCGACGTCTTGGCGAGTTGCCGTTTTTCGACTTTGTTGAACGCATCGCGCAGGATCCGTGATTGCTCTTCGATGTACAGAAGTGACAAGGTGGAATTTGACTCCAGCATTTGGAGTCGCTTGTTCACCGATTTGAAGAATGATTCCTGCGTTGTCGGATTCGGAGATGGTGGCTGCGTGGTCGATGTTGTCGTGGTCGTCGACCGGATCACCTCCGGCGAAGGACTAACGGTATCTTCTTTCTGAAAATCGGTCTCTGTCGCGTTTTGCTGGGCCGTCTCAGAGACTACCGTAGATGTCGTCGATGTACTATTCACCGATCCAGATGCTCTCTGTACATCCACCATAGCCTCCTTTGGTGCTGCATCAGTTCCGGGGGTAGTATCCGTATCCTCAACACTGGAAACAGATGTAGCATCGTTGGTACCCGGCACCGTAGAATCAACCGTCTGGGTCAACTCCTCGAATCCAGCCGCTTCGGCAGACGTCGCGTGAATACCGCACGTATCAGTCATGCCGAATGGACCTTTCAGTAAAAGCGTCTCAATTTCCTTTCCGCGATTGAACCACATTTCCGCTGATGCTGTGCTATCCAACTCAGTCGTGGCGGCCGGGAAATCGTGTGCATGATTCACATGTCCGTCAACCATAGCAGGGGCCTCTAAAGTCTCGTCCATTTCATCTTCCACTCGTCCAACATCACCATCATGCTTGTACTCTTCCAACATTGTGGTCCCGTGTACACGAATAAGACTGAGAGGACAGTAGAATTCATGACCATAATGGGTCAGGAATTCGATCTTCAAATACCGTGCCCAGATCAGTGGATTCTCCACGGCGAATGCTTGCACCTCCCGTGTATTCCGTGCCTCGTACACTCCCAACTCCTTCCACTGGTCGAGTTTCGCGGGATACCGATCCGACACGCTAACCCGGAAGGTGTGGAAGATAGAACTGAAGAATTCGTAGTTGGCGAGAACGACCGTGTCGACCAGAATATCATCGCACAGCTCGAGTATGAGGAATTTGTTATCAGCCCGGCACTCGTTCAGCATGTAGCTGTCTTTGTTCTCGATCAGAACCGACGACGACCCCATACCTTCTCGATTGGTCTTGAGTACCGTCGCCGCACAGTCAAACGAGGCATAATTAAACCGCTCCTTGCAGGTCGTGCCGGCGTCCTTCCGTCGCGAAATACCCGTTCGTGGAACGCTGTGTGCTAAAGCATTTTCCTCCTCAATATGCCTTTCTCTCTCGCTAACACTGTCCAAACCCGATCCAGGCTGCACCGCCGAATCCCAAGACGTAGGCTTTGCAGTCGCCGCGGTAGCCTCCTGTGTCGTTCCAAAGCCCCCAAAATCCAATTCAATCTCCGTGTCCTCGCCAAGCGAATCCAGCGCATTGTTGATCCCCGTCGGTCTCCCACGGAGCTGTTTACCTGCTGCGCCAGATCGCCGACTCCCTCCCACATTCTCAACTGACTGCCCAACCTTGGCCAGATTCTGCTTCTTCCAGTCCTCGAACGATAGGAAGTTCGCATTATCAAGCGGTGATTCGGTATCAAGGTCTTCATGGCCGGGTTGTCCATCAACACCACCAGCACTGGGCGAATCTGTCGCCGTAGCGGCAACCGTTGTCGTCGTCGTTGACGTTACCGCCTCTTCTCGTTCCGTCCATCTATCCTCCACACACATCGGCCACTGAATAGTCGCCACCTGCACATCCGGCTCAACTCGCACCGGACATGTTGATTGTGACAATCCTTCATCGCCAACGACATTCCTGGCACCGATCGACAGAGAACATATTGTCCAATAAACCCACCCCGGCGCCAACATCCTTCCTTCCTTCCAGTATTCCCAGTCTTTCCAGCGCGCGCGGACCCCCTCTACCTATCTCTTTATCAAAATTTCTGGTATCTTCGTGCGGGGATTCGTATCTCGTCTCGTTCTCGTCTCGATTTCGCACGTTATAGATAAGCGATTGATGCGTTATCTGAAAGGGATGGGCGTTCGGAAAACACAAGGCTTTTTTTTTTTTTTTTTTTTTCGCTGATTCGCTCAGATGATGTACATTTCCGGTAAATTAAAACAAGAAGGAAATGCAGCGTAATACAAGTTCAGGAGGGCGCTAGGCCTGCATATGCGCCGCCTTGCGGCCGCACTCAGGAATAATGATAGAGGAATAATGGCAATGTGGGGTCTGGAACACAGAAATAGAAAGATTGTGATACTCGACTGCATTCAACCAAGACAAAGAGACAACACCCTTCAGAGAGAGAGAAAAGAAAACGACAAGACTGCATTCTCAAACGAAACGGTCTGGACACGCCGTCTCGTGACCGCCTGGACTGACCGCTTGGAATGACCGCCTGGAGATAGTGGCAGTATTTATCTACGGACAAAAGCACTGATAATATGACCTCTACGAGTACACAAGCACAAAAAACAGATGGCTCTTGAACTTTTTTTTTGATTATTGTTTGCGTCGCACCAATTGCAGGTGGACGTCCTTGCCAACTACAGTACAGAATCCAAGTTCCTCCTGGCAGAATCAAACGATTGTAGATATTTCTGCTCTATACTAATGCTCCTCTCATCGATGCCCAGTGTCACCAGTACGAACCCATCCCATGTTGTCCAAAACAAACCGTTTCCTCCCAAAGTTAAAAAGATTTAGCCATTGGACTTTTCTCGACGCTTCCTGCTTGCTCGACGATAATCGTACAAAACGAAAAAAAAAAAAAAAAAAAAAAAAAAAAAA